ACATAGGCGGCTAAGTGGCATTCTGACAGCTGTTCAGTCAAAAAGTCGGGAAACATGAAACAATCAGGGGCTCTCACAGTTCGCTGATCTGAACCAATCAGGTGTGCTGAGCTTTGGTTCTTGCGACCTGGTCATCTGCGGGGAATCATTTCACCAAAGTCACCCGCAAAATTGCAGGTTGAAAGGGAAATGCGCCCACACTGTTACGGCATGAAGGATCGTGTGGGGGTTGATACATATTCCGTGCGGCCCCCAAGTGACCAAGGGTAACTTTTCCCATTGACTGAAAACTATCAACTTTTAAGTGGCTTCTCCCAATTGTTTGCCATGTAAAGTAAAGGACCTTTTGATCAACCCCCATGTGGTCATGACTCAAAGGCAAAGACTGCAAACAAATATTCGAAGGCCGATTCGCTGCGCGCACTTACCTGAGATTGAAGTGAAGCATCACCGGGAATAGTTTAACCACATGCCACTGTGGTGTGTGTGTGAGACCCCTAAAATATGTATGTACACAGGTGTGTATATACATATAACTGTATATACATGCAAATTTTACATACACCCTTCGAACCCCCCTGTGGACCCCAACAGGTCAAGTTAGTACCCGAGTCAAAAGGGAATATGTGGCTGGGGTACTGATAGCTTACGTCTTTAACAGTTTGCCTTTTGGTGTTCCTGCATTGTCCCTTTGCGGGATCAACGAGTTGACATCCTGCAGGGGCTCTACGTCTCGCCGAGCAATGTTGACCCCGGATGGAAGCAACACATCCAAAAAGAAGTAGGGGGGTTCCTGCCAAAGTGACCCGTGCCAACCTACTAGTGCACCACCAAAAACAAAAAGAAGCCCATCCGAACGCACAATGCTACTGTTCTTCCTGATCACTTGAAAAAGGACTTGAGCATCCAAGCACTTTATTTCGGCTGCTGCACAAGGGCAAGTCAGGCAAACCATCATTCACTCACACCTGAGCCCCGTCAAGAAACCCTCCCCTAGAGAAGGCTTAGCCCAGCTTAAGCCGTACGGGCAGAGTGTCTGGGTTGCCCAAACACGCGCGTAAATGTCATGGCCGAGTCGGTCTGCCAAACAATACGCGTGTGTATATATATATATATAAGGGTCAGTGGAAGTGGAAGGCCCCCACCATACTGCAACCAAGCACTATGCTTGCATAAGGGCATCTCTTCAAGGAAGCTCTCTGGAACTGAAAAAACTGAAAAAAACTTGAAAAAAGAAGAAAAACCAAGGATTTGGAGGGACATGGCGGGGGGGGGGCAGCCCTCATGTCCCTCAGAATCCTTGGTTTTTCAGTTGTTTTTTCAGTTTCCATTTTTTCCCAGGTTTCCTTGGCATCTGAGCAGAACCAAGTCCATAGTTGAAAGCTGTCTGGCTCCAGCGCTTCCTTACTCCTCTTCTGCCCTTTGTTCTGACACTGTCCTAGCATGGCCAAGCAGCCTGAGGATATGACCTTTGATGAATTCAAGAACGCATGCGACGCTTTGTGTCCTCCTCCTTGCCAACTGGCATCTTCAACCATGTCAACTTCCCCATGGCGGAGGCAGGTGGTGTGGAGGGACCCCAATAGCCCGGTCGTCTGGGAGCAATGGTGTGGCATAGTCCAACGTGGCCACCCGGAGACACTCGTGTTGCGCAGGCTGTCCTCCAAGGAGTCCGCCAAGAGAGCTCCCGGACCCGGAGCCATCAGAAAGGTGGAGTGGTCTCCTTTGGCAAAGAAGTGGTTGCAGGATAAGAAGGCTATCCTGCACACGGACTTGGCCAAGAGCTACAAGACCAAGGTGGCTGGGGTGCTCCGCACGACAAGGTGGTCCATGCGAAGAAGCGGGTCAAAGTCAATCAGTGGAAGTGGAAGGCCCCCACCTATGTGAAGCTTGTAAAGCATAAGAACCCGACTACGAAGAAGATGATGACCGTCAAGTCGGGGACGCAGGTGGTTGACCGGGCATGGAAGTTTTTGAAGGAGAGGTTGACCATCAACCAGAATGCTAAGGTAGGGTCTTCTTTGTTGCGAGCAAAGCTTCGTTCTGCACAGTATCAGTACTGGTATAGGAACCAGGATATGTGGGTTGCATCTGAGACACTGTGCGAATGGTTGATGACTAAGTTCATCAAAAAGCCATCCCAGTGAGTGTGACGCAGGCTTTCTCGGGGCCCTGGTTCAAAAGGACTGCATCCTGCACGCGCGTCTGACAATCAGTGAGGTGTGACAAACCTTGGTTTGGGGGGGGGTAATATATTCACATACAATATGCAAATATCACCTTCCATCCACGTTTTCATGGAGCTTCCTCCTGACGGAAGCCTCTGTGGTAGCTAACCATGGTGAATAGGGTGTGCAACCGTTCCAAGCTTCAAAATCCGAGAGTTCACTCCATGCGTCTTGGGCTTGGTCTTTGGAAACATGACTTACCGGGGGCCAACCAGACGTTTCCAGCGGAGGGCTCTCTGACTGCCTCTCCAGCCATTGCATCACTTGTCGGTAGAGGAACCTCGGCGTCGGGATCCACAGTATCTCTGGACATGGAACTTCGCTTTAACTTGCTGGTGTCATAAGTAGGGAAGGGAATGAAGCCAGGGATTCCCTTAAGGGGATGAAGCCATACGGAAATGAACCCAGGAATAAAGCCATAGGGGATGGTTTTTCTTGGGGTCATTCCATTTATCATTCCCTACTTATTGCACCGATCGCAAGTTAAACAATTGCAAAGCACTCCGGGCTTATGGGTCAATAGGTTAATTCACATAAACCCTCAAACAACCCTTAGCCATCCAACCTACACTGGACATGAAGTTCGAGTCTGCACGGGATAGTCACACTAAGCAACCCGCCAATGGCAACCCGCCCATGGCAACCAGCCCATGGCAACTCGCCAATGCCAACCCGGATGAAGAAACGCCCCTTGATCCCTTTAGGGTGTCCCATTTTCTAAACAAAGCACATCACTTTTTGGGAAGAACCGCTTTGTCCGCAAAGGTCACCAATCCCAGTCACCTTCCCTCTGGGTGGTTTGGCGGGGTTCCGTGTATCTACAGGGGCTCAAATCCCGAAGCCAATGACACCAATCCAAACCACCAAGGGCTACCTGACCTAGGGTACACCAAAAAAATGAAGTCCTGAGTATGTTCAGCCCAGCGCCAGATCCAAGGCTCCCCGGCTGCCCGCCCATTCACCCGTATCAAAATGGAAACCAACTTGAAATGTCAAGAGGGTCTTTTGTCTCCCATCCTTTCGGCCTGGGCCAACTCAACGCGTCCTGGAAGGCAAAGATCTGAATTGAGAAGATGGCTCTAAGTATCAGCCTTGAAGCGGTGGCTGAAATGGCTCAACCAAGCTGATCAGATCTGTCCTCAGATCCCCAGCTGAAAGTGAATCATCTTTCGTGGGTTAAATTCGGACACCCAACCACTAAAACCAACTAACACCAGCACAAAAATCCTCCGGAACTATGGATGGCTGGTTCTGAACCACCCTGTGGTACAACGAAAAGGCGGGGGATCCTTGATGTTGAGAACTTCTCCCCCCCACTCCCGCGCCACTCCGCCCCCACTTCCCCACCCCGGCTGTGAGCACCGGACAGCAGCAGCAGCCCCAGCGCCAGCAGAGGCGCCACGTAGAGCACCGGCGTATGTTCGCTCGCCATGGCGCGAGTCTCGTCGCGAGGCGCAAACCGACCCAGCCGCGGGGCGGTGAATACCCGCGGAATGGCACCCGATCGAAGCGGTGGCTTTTGCGTGCTTGTGTTTGCTTTTTGGTTTCGTGGGTTGGGAGTTGGGGGTGGTGTTCATTGGTGGTGTTCATTGGAGGTGGTCTTCTTGTTTGTTGCGTGTTCCTGGTGCGCTCCGCTGTCTCTTGCGAATCAGGTCGAAAGAGTGATGCTGGCGCCACTCCTGTTCTGCGGCTTGTGTTTTCTTGAGTTTTGATTGGGCACACATTGCCAATCAAATCTTTCAAAACAACCCTGAGCCCATAAGAGATGCGAGCATGTGTAAACAGATCTGGACGAATGTTCCAGCATGGCTTGGTTAATGGGCCAAACCCTCTCCACAAGTCTTCCAGCACTCGTGCACCGAACCATGTTTGAGAGCGCCAAACTCCAACCAACTGCAAGATTGGAACCTCGCGACTTCATGTCAAACGGGTTTACTGTAAATTCCTGTCCTGCTTTTAGATTAGCTGAGATACGCACCTTTCAATCTGGTGACCATTCCCTAGTTTGCACGTCAAGCAATCCCTGGACAATTTCCTGGGTCTGCCCCTATGAAAAATAAATCAAACACCTTCGGTGAGCTCGCAAGCAAACATACGTACTGTTGGGTGAGCTCACGTGAGATGAATCCTGAGGTCGGAGTGGAGGAGGAAACCAATGACTTTTTGTGTCTGGGCCTTATTCCTATCCCCACTTGTTGTGCCCTCGTCATTGACCCCATGTCCTGGACTGTTCTTGCTAGCCATCCGTCCAGCTACCTGACTCTCTGCCAAGCTATCTGTCAGTCAAATTTGTCCATCTGTGCATTGGTTGGTTGGTCTGCCTGTCCAGCCATTCACCTGTGGCCAGCTTGCCCTGACCTGCCACAGCTTCAGAATTTCAAGCGGTCGATTCGCTTTCAAGCTAAAGTGAAAGGTATGGACGCACCCCATGTGAGTGTACGTACCCATCCCTGTACAGCCCATGCATAACCTACAACATATAACTACTGATTTGACTATGTGCGCTTCGATGTATGCAAAGGCAACGTTGAGAGTCACTTCTTGTTGGCAAAAGGGGGAGGAACCCCGGATTTATCAGACTGATGGACTACTTAGTGTGTGTCCAAAGCGGGACACACACAAACACTACATACGCACACACCCCACAAAAACTGCAAGGTCAAGCAATCCTGAGACAGGTCCTAGCTGTCATGCTTTGGTTTCGTAACCCTGTGGTATGAATTGGTCTGACTCCAACGGGTGGGTATGTTCTTCCTGACCTGGGCCCAAGGCGTGGACGAGGCCGGCGAAGCACCTGACGCGATCTTCTGGGCTCACGGAGCGTTGGCCAATCCGACGTTCCATCTCCGGGAAAGACCTTTTCCCACCTCTGGAGTGACTAGCAGATCAGATTTGTTTGAAAGTCTGGTCCAAATGTTGCGAAATGCGAAAGGAGCTTCGGACAACCCTGATTAGCGATGCCAGGGTTGAAAACCAGGGTCCTCAATAATCCCCAAACGAGAGGCCACCTGCACATGCTTCTGCCCCACACAGTAAATGTGTTGAGCGCATGGACTAAACGTGAAATAACGTGAAATGGTGTTGGCTCTTCTTCTCATGAAAGCGGCCACCACCAACCGCAAGCAACAAATGGGAGTGTTTCTTGGAGGGTACACATTTCAGGCTTGGTTTCAAGAGAAACCAAGGGGCAATCGCCAGGTTTTGGGGGGGGCGGGGGGTCTGTATGTTGAGACGCGCTGGGCAGCCCCCTGGGTACGCGTCCAGGATATGAAGCGATGCCCCTGTCAATGCGAGGGGAGCTTCCCTACCGAGTCTAACACGGGCATCCTGAACGCACGCAGTCAGCTTGAGGAATCTAAGAAACAATTAACTTCCCACCAAGTGACAGCCTTGCTTGGAAATTCAACCCACACAACTGGCAAGCAGGTTAATTGTTAGCATGACAATTTGTCTAGTTGTCCACCAGCCTTGGTTTGGAACACATTTACAACCCATGAATATAACCTGCTTCCCGATTGGTTGAACATCCATGAGGGATACCCCCTAGCATCTAGAAGACTGTCCCGGCGGGCCGAAATTTTGAAAGGAACGGCCCTCAAGAGGAGCACACAAAGCACGGCTAGAGGTCTGCGTTGAGAGGCCGAGGTTTTTAGGCTAAAAGGAACAAACCACAATTGGCCGTCAGCTGCATCACGAACTTGTTCATTAAATACCTTGTGCGAATATAGTTCCTAGCTTTATGTTCACATATGTGCAAATATTAAATATCCCTACATTAAACCACATATTGTGCAAATATCCCTTGGGTATTGGATGGCTGAGTAACGCCTGGCCTTTACGTCCGTGTGAGTCTTTGCCATACCTGAACTCAACCAGCGGTTCAAAGGAAGGGTAAGCCACGGTTGTTTCTTCAAGACCCTACAGCCACCACCCCAAAGAGACAAGACCTCTCCTGCGTTTCAGCCGCTCACCATTGGCACAACCCCGCTGAAAGTGAAACCAGGGGGTTGCATACAAACTGTTCCAACATGATTCAACAACTCACTTCCTGAGTGGATTGGCCAAAGAAAGTCTGTCTGCGCTTTGTATGTACCACTAAAACGGTCCAAACCCCAAAAGTGACTATAGGTCTAGGGGTACCTTCCCCATTCTTTCCAGGGATCCTTCTTTTCAGAAACCCTCCTAAATTCAGGGAAACAGCGATCGGTTTTTGAAAAGAACGATGGTTGAAAAGAATGGACAAGGAATCAACCCCTAGAATAGTCTGCAACGGAGCTTGGGGAGTGAGACGAGGGTCTCGTTGACGGCTGATCTCATCCGCGCCTGGCCAGAGGTCTCTGGCCTCACCGCAGATTTCGTGGCGTGGTGCGGACGCCTTTGGAACTTTTTTGAAAGACACGATCAATTGGTGTCTGCTTTTGGGGGTACCCAGACCGGCTTCGGATGGGTGCGCTTTGGGCAGGCGAGAATGTCAGGACCAACATATACAAGGCAGGTACATAGCCTAGTTCAGAATAGCAAAGTTTCTGAAAAAGGAAGCCCCTCAGAGCTGGGGTCTAAAAATGTTTGCTGAAAGGCGTCAGAAATTCGAATCCTCGGATCTACGGGGGGGGGTTCTTACTTCAGCGGGTTCCGCAAAAAGTCTGCGAATTGAACAATGGCTTCAAAACCTGACATAAGAATTGGATCCGCAGTTCAAGGGACCATGGTGCTCCGCCCGAACTGGAAGAGCTCGATATTTACACCAAAGCAATTGAGTGGGCGACAAAAGCTCGAAACAAAAGTCTAAACGCTCTGCCTCCCGAGAAAGCTCAGTTGGCAAAGATCATCCTTGTGGACCCTCGCCTCAGACAAAAGGTTGGTGTTCAACCACCCCAACCACGCTTCCTCAGCAAGAAACATCCCCAAATTTGTTTGGGTCGGATCCAGGCAAGCAAGACGCTTTTCAGTTGGGTACCTCAGCGCCCGGTCATTTAGTGGACGTCATGTCCAGGTCAAGCAACAAACACAGAAGTGCATAGGAAAGGCTTATGGAATTGAGAGTTTCCATTAAAGCTAGTGGACTCAATGGACACAAAGTGTGTTATTATGTGCATCTGCGCGCGTCTGCGTTTATACATACAAGGCTTACGCAAAAGTCCCAAGAACAATGGGATATCTATTGATGTGCGGTAGGAAGCTGGAAATGAAAGCCGGGCTTTCAACACCTAGAGTAACATTGGTTGTGACTGAAAATGCCAAGGTCTGAAAACCAAAAGGTTTGACTGTTGAGGGACCAGGCTCCATGCTGGCCAAACGGGACCCCGGGCTGCTGCAAAGCCATCTGGCATCGATGATGCCTGGCTAAGCCAGCCAGGAGACTGGAGATCTCTGGCCTCGGCCGAGACTGAAAAGGTGACCGAAAAAATGATTCAAAGCAATGCAAGGGTCAAATATGAACAACCAGGGAAAACCGCAAGGTCAGCTTTGGTGGTATCGGTGTCACTGTTGACGGATCCATGCTGGCCAAACGGGACCCCGGGCTGCTGCGAAGCCATCTGGCATGGATGATGCCTGGCTAAGCCAGCCAGGAGACTGGAGATCTCTGGCCTCGGCCGAGACTGAAAAGGTGACCGAAATGATTAAAAGCAGTACAAGGGTCAAATATGAACAACCAGGGAAACTGCAAGGTCAGCTTTGGTCGCATCGCTTTCACTGCTAACGGATCCATGCTGGCCAAACGGGACCCCGGGCTGCTGCGAAGCCATCTGGCATCGATGATGCCTGGCTAAGCCAGCCAGGAGACTGGAGATCTCTGGCCTCGGCCGAGACTGAAAAGGTGACCGAAATGATGAAAAACAGTACAAGGGTCAAATATGAAAAACCAGGGAAACAGCAGGGTCAGCTTTGGTCGTATCGCTTTCACTGCTAACGCATCCATGCTGGCCAAACGGGACCCCGGGCTGCTGCAAAGCCATCTGGCATCGATGATGCCTGGCTAAGCCAGCCAGGAGACTGGAGATCTCTGGCCTCGGCCAGGACTGAAAAGGTGACAGAAATGTTTAAAAGCAATACAAGGGTCAAATATGAACAACCAGGGAAAACCGCAAGGTCAGCTTTGGTGGTATCCCTCTCACTGTTGACGGATCCATGCTGGCCAAACGGGACCCCGGGCTGCTGCGAAGCCATCTGGCATCGATGATGCCTGGCTGAGCCAGCCAGGAGACTGGAGATCTCTGGCCTCGGCCGAGACTGAAAAGGTGACCGAAATGATTAAAAGCAGTACAAGGGTCAAATATGAACAACCAGGAACAACTACAAGGTCAGCTTTCGTGGTATCGCTTTCACCGTTGACGGATCAATGCTGGCCAAACGGGACCCCGGGCTGCTGCAAAGCCATCTGGCATCGATGATGCCTGGCTAAGCCAGCCAGGAGACTGGAGATCTCTGGCCTCGGCCGAGACTGAAAAGGTGACCGAAATGATGAAAAGCAATGCAAGGGTCAAATATGAACAACCAGGGAAAACTGCAAGGTCAGCTTTGGTGGTATCGGTCTCACTGTTGACGGATCCATGCTGGCCAAACGGGACCCCGGGCTGCTGCGAAGCCATCTGGCATCGATGATGCCTGGCTAAGCCAGCCAGGAGACTGGAGATCTCTGGCCTCGGCCAGGACTGAAAAGGTGACAGAAATGATTAAAAGCAGTACAAGGGTCAAATATGAACAACCAGGGACACCTGCTGGGTCAGCTTTGGTCGCATCGCTTTCACTGCTGACGGATCCATGCTGGCCGAACGGGACCCCGGGCTGCTGCGAAGCCATCTGGCATCGATGATGCCTGACTAAGCCAGCCCGAAGACTGGAGATCTCTGGCCTTGGGCCGCTTGCCCTGCCGTATCTGGGAACAAAACTCGTCGGAAACCGTGCCGGCAGCCTGCTGTAATATATATATATATACATATATATATATATGTATATATATATACATATGTGTATATATATATATACATATATATACATATATATATATATGTCCATATCTGGGTATTTTGTTAACATGGTGGAGACCTCTGGGGGACGTCGGAAACTGCAAGAGGAACCAAGCCCATTCTTCCAACACACCCATCTAGCATTATTTCAACACCCACTCCGACCTTGTAAATACATTCCTGTCTTCAATATTGCTTCAGGCATTGGTTCTGCACTTTGCTTTATCTTCCATGGCCCAACAAGTCACAAGTTCTGGGCAACGGCTTCGGGTGGGCCGGGTTAACTCGTGCAACATTCTAAGGGTTGGTGTCCCATTCTTTTCAACCATCGTTCTTTTCAAAAACCGGCCGTTTCCCCTGGGTTTTTGATGGTTTTCTTAAAAAAAAAAGGATCCTTGGAAAGAATGGTTGGAAGTGTTTTTTAGATTGTTTTTTCTTGGTTAGGATTGTGTAAAGCTTATCTAGGTCCTCGGTCCTCCAGTAGAGAGGTTAGAACAAGTTGGTACCCGATGTTTGTTCTGTAGTCTATTTTAGTAGGGGACCTCCCAACCAAAAAAGGTGTGAGAAAGGGCACTACTGGGGGACCTAGTTATATTACACATGCACGTAGCCTATGTTCTTCTTGTCCAGTGGTGTGTGTGGCCGGTGGAATAGCTCGAGCCAAGTAAATGTATTGAAGCTGGGCGCACCGGGCCCACAAGCGATTCCCTACATCTTCTTTTCAGATGGGACATTCCAGGAGATTCGCTTGGGGTTGGTTGCGGTTGGTTGGCCCCATGCGATGGAAATTCATTTTGGAACCCTTTCACACCTTGACAATCGAAATTGTCCGTCTGTCGCCAAAGAACCTGAATAGGACAAGTGCGCACTTTAAACCCTTGACCAACATAGTTGCCGAAGTGGTTGACCACCAACAGGGCCATTCGGCCAGTGCCAGCCCGACACATCTCCAGCGGATCCTGCTCAACATGTTCCGAGAGAATTCTGGGGTTGGTCGAAGGGAAATATGAACCCCAGCTGCTTTAACCGATTGGTCAAACAACTTCCAGCTGGTGTCCCTAGCATTGAATGAGTTGTTTAGTGCTCATCAAAGAAGAACATGAAAGGGCATGGCAAAGAAACTTGGTTGAGGTCCCGGTGGGTTACCCCCCCCCCTTCAGTACATTCCTGAGCTCGAGCGTTTCCATCAGCCCCACACCGGTGGACTCATACAGGAAAAGGGTGTCCATACATACATGTATATCTATTTTTTGTATGTACATATATGATATGATACCGATATATATATATACATACATATACACACATGTGTAAACATACATACAGCTCCCAAAAGGGCCAACCAAATTGGATATATACTAAAGAACAGGAAACAAAAGGGTGTGCCCTTTAACACTTTGATGATCAATCGCTGCCGAAGAGGCGAAAGGTCCAAGGTTAAAAGCATAGACCGACTGCCCGCCAACGATCCCTACTTGAGAAAAGCGTTGAGCCATGTTGGGCCCCCCTTCCTTACAGTCATTTTCATGAAACCCAGGCAACATGTGGGGGGACGGGTGCCTTTCATTCTTGGGGGCACGTCCGTTGCTCGGGTGCCTTTCGCCGAAGCGAGCCGGGCACTTGCCCTTCCCGGGAACCCGGGCGGCTGCGAAGGGATCCGCTGAGCCCTGGCAAGGGCAGGCTCAAGAGTATTTCCCAGCGACCTGGACTAAAGAAACTCGGTTGACGGTGGAAGGGGAGAACAAAAAATGTTTTTAAGCAGTGAAGTGGTTGGAGTTCAGCCACTAAGCCACAATAAGCAAAAATGCAAAATGTTTCCCAACAACAACCATGGAAAGACGCATCTTCGGCTCTGTGCACGTCTGTACACCAAGCTGCAAGAATCATCAAATGAGACTTGGTCCAAGGAAAAGACGCAACCTGGCTTTGAGTTGTATCAGTTGTGCAACGAACCCCGGAAAAACAGAAAGGGGAAAAGGGTGCAATTAAACAAATGGAAACAAGGTTGACATAGGTTGACGTTGTGCTCTGAAACTACATCCCTGTTGCTTGCAAAGAGAACCCTTCGAGTGCTTTGTCAGCGGATATCCACTAAGTGCTGCCTCAGTTAGTCAGGCAGCCGTATACGGGGCATCCCTGGCTTTACATTCGGACTGTGGCCCGTCATAGAGGACACTTGGGACAAAGCCTTACTATTCTGAATGGGACATCCACCCCTAAAAAACCATGGTTTACTTGTCAGTCCTGAATAGTGGAAACTCCTTTGGATGCAAAGACTTAGTTTGGCGTCTGCCAAATCTGACCGTCTCCCCCTACATTCTTTAGGGCAGTCAAACCCTTCGTGCAACGACTGCACCCATATCCCTAACATCCGCATCAACTCACTTCCTCAGTGGATTGGCCAAACTGGTTCTTTTCCCGTGAAGCTTTAACGGCGCTTGGTTGGCATTCGAGGGTCAGGACACGGCTGGGACCCCCCCCCAATCCCCAGGTACATCGCCCTCATCTTGCGTGTTCGTTCTTCCCATTTGAGCCCGACATAGTTTCGTCATGTGAAAATCCACTGCATCACCGGGATGAAGCACTGATGATAGCTGAGCCGTTTCCTTCACGGAAACTAAGGACTTAAGCTCATGTGGCCATGGGTCAAAATCCCGTACCCCCAGTGAACATCCCAATCCCCACTAAAGTAGACTAAAATGGATGGTGCACCTACCCCAAAACGCCATTGTTTTGACCCACAGCCATATATATATATATATATTGCGGGAAACAGCGTTAAACAGCGGGAACTGGGAAAGGCTTTGTATCCTATGGGCGCAGGCCGCACATTCTTTCCCTCCGCACGCTCTGCCCACGTTGCCGAAGGCCGAAGGTACCTTGGCCGAAGGGTACCATGGGCCCGTCCCCGTGACCGAATGTTCAGAATTGGAAGGCAGCCCCTTCAAAGTACAACTCAGATGTCCCACGACCATGTTTCTTAGCGAACCGGCTCCGATGTGCCTTCGGGCCAGCTTGGAAACACCAGGGAACTGGCGAGCATTGCCCTCCCAAACTGGGTCCCGCAGCTTCTGCGCCAGGAAAGCTCAGCTTCCATGATTGGAAGGGAATACCTGATTGGCAGCAAGTCATCCACAAACCGTCTCTGCACCCGATCCCTATGATTAACCGTTTAGTGGAGGTTCCTGAGGAGACATGGGCAATGTTGACCCAGGATGTATCAAAAGATAAGCCCAAAAGGTGATGTGTAAACTTTGTAAACCACTGACCATGGTGTCGTTTTTTGGTTGGACTCCCCAAACATGGACGGGCTTTCCTTCTGGTTCTCTTCAAAACCGACCAAACAGGGTACCAACTCCAAACGCGCACACCCACACAGCCACCCATATGGGGGGTGTCCATTTTTTGGGCAAAAAAAAGCAAACCAAACAACTGCGGTTTCCCTTGAGATTTTCCTTTATAACCACTCCACAGGTGGTATCCTCAACCCATGGCCACACAGCGAGCCAAGGCGGGGCGCTCATTCGCCAGGCTTGCCGCAGGGCCACTTCGGGAAGAGCTTGGACCGCACGCCCTGCAGAAGTCGATCGACGAATGTCATAGGGAGGGGGGGAGGGAGGGGAGGGGGAGGGAGCCCAAATAAAACTTCAATCAGGCCATAAGGGCAGATTTGAGCTCCCTCCCCCTCCCTCCCCCCCAACCCCCATGAGAATGGAGCCAATGGGGGCCAGTTGGCATACCCCGCCTCGTCGGCGTGGGGGTCGAAGGCGGGGGAGCTGGTCCCCGGCTTGCCGCCGCACCTGGGACCCGAAAGTAGGCCCAGGGCTTCTAGTTCCAAAGGCTTCTGTAGTAACACACAGGAGTAATACACCGGGTATTGACCCCCATTTAAGCACATGTCCGGAAAAAAAATAACGTTTTTTTGAACCATGCTGGGTCATGTCCCAAGGGTGGAATCCCAGGGCGTAATACAAAAACTGTCAGGAGGTACCTGGTTTTGTAAGGAACTAAGGGAACCATCCTGAACAAAAACATGTCTTGTTTGCAGAAAGTGGTAACTGGGATCCCCTGTGCGAACTTGTTGATTTTGATTGGTGTTTAGTGGGGATGACCACTTTTGGAGGGACCCCCGATCTCAAACTCAACCAGTTCTACTTAGATCCGGGATTCACACACCCAAGGTCCCTTATTCCGGAATTTGTCGGATGCCCTTGTGACAAGTGCAGCATCGCAAGCGCACCAGCCCCGCAAAATACCCTGACAATAGGTTCAGGTGTGTTTTTGCAGCAGAGCGACACTGATTTCCGTGCCACCGACCCCGTCTCCTTGCCGTAGATGGCTGCAACGCACGTGACGTGCTGAAACCACCTACCACCCAGAAGTATGCTGCCATGAAGCAGGCACCGACAAGCCTGCGGAGCGGGTCATTGCAGCCAACATGCAAACATTCCAGTGCTTCCGAGCAATGCCATACCGAACAGAAACGCTCCGTGACGTTTGGATCATGGACCAAAGTAAGCACTTTGACTCCTAGGATTTAATCTTTGAGCGTCACGGGGCACTGCCCCAATGGAACATCCCTGCCACACTCCTCCACTCATAATACGTGTGCCAGAAGCTGATGGTCGACTCTTGCGAAAAGGGTTCCAACTACCCTCTTTGCTAAAAAGGACACTTATGATTTCAACTAGTTTCCTAACCTAAAACTTCGGCAACCAACCGACGACAACCATCTTAAAGTGGCACAGGCGATGCTGAATGAGAGGCACATACTGGTGGCCCCTTGGTTGAAGCCACTGGCTTGCCAGAAAAGGGCTTGTCTCAAAGGTGTCCTTCTGGTTTCCCTTTTATCAACCCCAAAAAGGGACAGACCCCCGTTTTGGGCAACTGAGCCTCCGGGCATGTTCGGAACTTGGCTCAAACAGGTCACCTGGCAAAGAGAGCTTCCGGAGGCGTGCCGCTAGAAGCTGCCCGCAAGTTGCCTCAATTCTTACCCCCTACACACACCACCCACTTTTTCGGGGCATGATGTCAACCCTCTACTAGCAAAGAAGGTATTTGCATTGCAAACCGGGTTTTCCAAACACATACCCTAAAACACATGGTTTTGGGTAGGGGTTCCTGGAGTTGCCAACTTCACAACTTGCTATCAAGATATGGATGTGTGTCGCGGGTCAACAAAGGGGAACGCCCCACGCCCAAATTGGTGTTCTTTTGGCTTCCCTTTCACCCCACGCTAGACGCTAGAAAGGGTGCCCTCAAACAACAAGCACACAACCATAATATGTAAAACACATACCCAGGCATATGAGTCTCATACCTTCCCAGTGAAAGTATCATGCTTGGTTTGCTAGCCGATTCGCAACTTGGTTCCCAGGAAAAACCATATTTCACTGGGCTGTTGAAAACACAGGGTGATTCCAATATGTCATAATCCTTCTTGGGACAGCACTTGAAAAAAAAGAAAAAAGAAAAACAAACACTTTTGTGTCGCAATGGAGTGAGTTTACAGTAGGTTGTATTTCAACAGCCTAGGTTCCTTCCATTCTCGAATGTCATACAACATAAGATTGTTCTCTGATATCAATTCTATCAGGTCATAGAAGCCCAAGGGCTGAATGAAGTCGAATTAATACTTGAGTGGATGATCTACACCATAACTGCGAGGAAACTCGGTCGCAAGGCCTCCCCGGCTGACAAAGACATGCCTGCTTACACAATTGGAATGACTTGTGTTTGCCAACACGATCAAAGGCAAATGGCCTGGATGAGACGATGACTGGAGCAGCTTCATGCCAAACTTGCTGGAAAAGCAACTGGTCTATTTGTCTGCTTTGAGCTCACTGAGCGACCAAACATAAAATGCCTGGCACACCTTCCAGGCTCCCCCATGGGGTAGCCTCTGATTTGGCTCTCGCCCTGGCACACCTTGGGGTAGCCTCTGATTTGGCTCTCCCTTTAAGGCGGCGAGGGAATACCTGTCTAGGGTGCAGCTGAGTCAGAATCAAGCCTGGTACTAAAATGGTCTACCCAGAACCATGTAAAGAATTGAAAAGGCGGCTGCACCCGTTTATGGCTGGGATTGTCCCTTACTATCGTCTAATTGCTCCGGTTTTGATTGTGATTCACCAAAAGCTTCAACCGAAAAAGACAGTTGAAACGGCATAGGCTGTCCCTCGAGGAAGTCGGGTGTGCTGCGCTACGAACATTGGCCGCCTCCTCACGGTCGCAATAGCCAAAGAGGTTGCAAATTAGCTCGAAGTCCCTGGCGAAAGAGAGAGAGCTTTCACGTGGGTCTCCTTCCATTCGGGTCCAAAGGGATCGGCTGCCAGGCTGCCCTCTCGAAACAATGCAAAACGCACCCAGAGTGCTGGCTGTCCGTGGTCTCTTTTTTTCTCCCCCGACCACAGATTGCTTGTCTCTTGAACAAGATGTACTGCCTCAAAGGAGCAGTTCCACTATGGGAACAGTTTGGTTTGGGCTTCCTTTCAATGCTTCAAGGGGGTTCACCATTTGGACAAGTGAGCCAATGTTATTTGGTTGGTCGGGTCAAAGCGAAATAAGTTGGTCCACGGAGAGACTTGAGTCAAAGGCACAGAAGCAACGGAGTCTAGAGGCTGGGGTTAGTTATCAACATTCCATATTCCGCTTATTGAAACGCTTGCCC